GCCAATCCACCTATCGATCTCCTGCTCCCTTCTTCCCCCATTCGTGAACAAGATCCCCAGATACTTAAACTCCTCCACTTGAGACAGGGCGAATCCCCTGACCCGGAGAAGGCACTCTACCCTTTTCCGGCTCAAGACCATGGCCTCGGATTTGGAGGCACTGAGCCTCATCCCGGCCGCTTCGCACTCTTGGACTTTATTGATCCCACAGTGGGGAAATTTGCACATTACTGCAGCTAATACAGGAGAGGCTGAGAACAAAAATGAAAGATGAATAAAAGATAACAAACAAAAACAACCCCACAAATACACATGTGATATATAGTAATGTACATATACCAATGCACATATACACATATACATAAACACATTTGCATATTTATATACATATATACACCGTCAATTACAGCAAGTGAATAAACAAGCAAGTAACATCATTTCTTTCTTTTTAAGTATTGTTGAACTCTAAGTGTTTATAGATGATGACTGCACGATAAGAGGCATTATGATAGCTTTTTAGCGTCACARCTCGATTGTGTTATTTTTAGCACATGCTTCACGGGCGACGTCATCTCTGAGAAAATGAACAAGGCTTAATCTGGCAGGGAGCCATGTAAAGCCTGGCGGCCTTCCTCCAGTTATGCCTTTCTTTTCTTCAACCTGACGTTTTCAGTCCCACCTGGTCTCTTTAGGTTAATTTTTACTCAACAATGAGCAGTTTGACATGGCTGCTTCTCCTCCCCCGTGCGGACCGGCCCATTAATGATGCAGCCCAGCGGGAATCGTCCTGATTCTCCCGATTACCCACTCTGCCCTTGTCTACAACTGAACTCCTTAGGACACAGTCCTCTGCAATTGTTCCTGGTATCTGTTCCAGTTTGGATGTCTCAGGACCAAGTTCTCTGATCAGTATTAGCACCTTTGAGGCTGTGACTTACCACAAACTTTGTTTCTTCTYTGAGTCCTTAGTATTTCTCCAGCATTTTTTTTTCTTGATGTTACATTAGCTTAGCATAACTACATCTGCTGATCAGCACTCTGTATGGATGCTTAGCCARTATGTTGTCAGTCTGAATCAGGAAGTCTTGCAATGTGTTAGCCCAGCCATTCTGAGTGGTAAAGAATCACACCTTCTTTTTCCTCTTTTATTTTTCTACAGAATATACTCTCATTTCCTCTTTTTTGTTTCCTGTCCACTTCTCAGAATAATGATTTACTCTGCATTTGGCAGAAGCAAAAACAAATGCTACAAACACTCACCAACATCCCTTTATACACATAGGCCTACACATGTGTGTGGGGGAACAGAGTCTCTCCATCAGTTTCCTAAACTAAAAGGTGTTGAAGACCCCTGATGTAGATTAACTAGAAATGTATGAAACATTGAACATAAGTGTCCTTCAGAACATTACTTGAACTTTCTTGCAATGTCACAAATTAATCTACAATATGCACCCTTTTGATGTTTTCTTGCAATCTATTCATTCCATTCAATGACAGAAAGGTGGTCTGAAAGCCTCGAGACCTGCTCTTTGTTGGATCTCTACGCCCATTTAATATGCTGAGTATTTGCATGTAGACCTGTCACAATAAAAAATATAAATCAATTAATCCTCTGATAAATTAAATTGAGAAAGATAAGTTAAAATGAAGACAATAATTTAAATTTGCCTGCTTGTTTGTTTTCTTCATGTAACCCTCGTTTTTACTTCTTGGTATAGAGTAGGGGTATCCAACCAGTAGGTAGCTTGCGTGCTAATTTAAAGTAGCTCTTTAATGTTTGTGAAAAAATAGGTGCTGCAAAATTTGACACTTCACCCATCTTGCCTACTGATGGTGGTCAGAGGGTCCGGTGGCGCCAGTGTATGGCAGCCCTGCCTCTGTCAGCCTGCCCCAGGGCAGCTGTGGCTACAATGTAGCTTACTATCAGACACACTATCTGTGTGTGAATGAATGATCCATGAAAATTGTAAAGCATCTTTGATAGTCTCGAAAAGCGCTATATAAGACTAACGGATTATTATTATTATTTTTTTTTTTTCAGCTGGCGGCTTTAATTTTCAAGCTCAGTCTTGCAACTTTAGTAGCTGCCTTCATCTACTACACACACTCATCCTCACAGCCGGCCTTCATCTACTACACACACTCATCCTCACAGACGGCCTTCATCTACCGGCACACTCAGCCATTCATCCACCAGCTCACCGTTACTTTTAACAGTCTTCATTCACTAGCCGACAGTCCCTCTACACCTCTCATCTTCTCATCCATTCTGCACTCAGCTGATGATGTGTGGCTTCAACTTAAATCTCAGCCTTTCTTTTGGGGGGACATAGAAAAACACCTATTTATGTACTCCTAGTTTGTCGGCCATCCCTATTATGTATTGTCGTTCTCATCATTCTCTAAACCACCATTCAGGTTCTGCTAGTTAAATGTGGCCTCAACCTCCTCTTGGCTTTGGCCTCTTTTTGGGGGATTAAATCTCCTACCCCTAATTTAAAGCATCTTGCATGAGATTACAGCTTAACTCAGCGCTCTCGTCCTCTGCAGTGTCTGAGTGCCAAACTCTAATGCTATTTATGTCATAACGGTGTTGGTCTGGTCCTGTCAACAAACCTCCTGAATTTCATTCTGTCTCGTGTGAGTCTTTCCAGGTTGAAATGATGGTGTTTTCAAAACGGACGGTAGCAGAAAAAATAAATAAATAAAAAAGAGCTCTGCGCTCATCTCCGCTAAAATAATGTTGTTGTTGGTTTTTAAATAAAAAACTATATTTGAACAGCCCTTTCCCGGCTTCAGTTCCTATAGCTGCCTAAGTTTAAAACAGTGAGATCAGAACTAAGCAGCACCTTTGTTTTTATTAAAATGTATTTTGTGATGGCACAACCACATTATAACATAACAGTTTTTTAATAAAATTAAAATAAAAACGGGCAAAATTTTCAAAATGCATATACAACTATTATTATACATAGCAGAGCCTCACTGTTTCAGGACACCTTGTCCTGCACTGTTTCTTGCAGCTGGAATGTTTAAGATTGGTCAGCAGATGGCGCCACACTAAAATTTATCAAATGCTTCAAAATAGTGAATTATTTCAACACAGTTTATTTTATTGATTCAGTGGTTCAAAAATGAACTAAGCCAGAACCTAAGGCAAAAAGAACCACAAAACAAAAACACAATGATCAGGTTAAATTCTTTTTTTTCAGAAAAAATAGAAATATTCTTAATTGCAAATTCAGTTAAATTAAAGCTTTAAATTGGTGCTCAAAATGTCTGACACAAAAAAAATTGCCTAGAGTGTGAGGAGGACTAGGTCCCATATTCAAGCATGTTTTAACAACACTCAGTGCAGCTACAGAGAATCATGGGAATAGTTATTTAGCAGCTGCAAACATTTAGTTTTAAATATTTACAAAAACCCTGAATAAGACTAAGTCTACTCACACAAGAAACTGAGAAAAAAAAGTTTAACTGTTTTTCTTTTAAACCAATTTGATAATTGATGAATACATTAATTTTAAACAAAAATGCATGACAATTTATTGAATCAAAAAACTGAACAAGAATAAAACAGAGCGCAGCTGCAAACATAGCAGATAGAGGAAAAATCTTAAGTTTTAAATCTGTTCAAAACTTTAAAAATAATAAAAAGGAAAAAGATTACATGAAAAAATAATTACTCTGTGATATAATGCATTGAAGTGTAGGTTTTTAATAAACAGAAATAAATGTGTTTTTTAGTTAGGATAAAACTTCAAGGTAAACTGATTCTACGTATCAAAAAACAAGAGATTTACAGAGATAGGATGTGGAGTTCCATCACCAGAAGAGAACTCAGAGTAGAGCTGTTCTTTAGAGGAGTTTTGTGCATGTCCCTTTGACAAGAGTCCTGCAAACTCACTGGAGGGATTGTCTATCTTCTCTGGCCTGGGAATGCCTCACCCCTAATTTACACTACTTGCGTTCCGTCTCCGCTGCGGTCTGACCTCCACAGCAAATACACAACCATTATAATCAATGAGAGTGTTTACACTGGCTGCGCAGGGCGGCGGTGAGYGGACGGCGATCCGTCAAAATTAGAACAGATCCTATTTTTGCCGGACGACGGAGCTGCGCCTGAGTCAATTTTTTAAAGATTGAGACACACCAATAGGAAAAAAATTAGCACAAAATCCGTATTTTCAAAGTAAGACACTTTTAGGCGGGATTATTTGTCGGAATAATGTCGAAATTGCAGCTATATTAATAAATATATGGATATATTTCTACACAAATACTGTCAGGGGAAGCAGATGGAAACATGTAGCATGAAGCATATGTGTACACACACGATACACATGGATTTTATTTTGAAATCAGAAGTTTCAGAAAGAAGGCAGCGAGACAGTTTCAACACAGATAACAGAAGCCTTTATATCAATGTTTTCAGCTGTTTGGAGTTCGACTTTCACAGAATTAATTATATTTTGCAGTGACTTCCACATTTATCAGTAAATTTATCGCGCAATCTCCTTACTGCACACTCCGTCGGAGCGGAGTCTGTATAAATTGAGACACAAATTAACAGCTGTGACCTGCGCACCGCAGTGGAGCGGAGCGAAGACGCGTGTAGTGTAAATCCGGGGTCACTGTCCACAAGGAGGAACTGGAGAGTGTCTCTGCAGAGAGAGAGGTGTCTGGGTTTCTATACAGAACCCGATGCCTACAAGATCCAACTTTGGATAAACAGTAGAAGATGGTGATGAAGATGAAGATATCTTCTTAAATAAAGTCTCTCAACATGCAGTCCACATGAGAACATATCTTTATGTTTTCTCGCTTTAAATTAAACTGCCTCATCAAGACTCAATGTTCCTGTTAATCTAACAGGAGAGAAGAGAACAAGAAGAACACATTTTAATCTTTTGTATGTTTTGTCACAAACAAGAGTATAAGTAGGAGTGATAAATATGGTGATATGACCTGAAACAGACTGTTGTATCTGACTGTACCTGCAGCTCCTGTCTTCACAACAGAATAAACAGCGCCCTCCTCTGGTTCATTGTGCCTCCCTGTTAATATCAACACATGAAAAATATAAAAAATAAACTTAAAGTCAAAAATTTTCAGAATATTTTTCTCTGATATTTACACTTACTCCTGTTTCCAGAGTTTTGAAATTCAAGGAGAGAGTATGTGACATGTAGGGATTCATCTGCATCTGAAATAAATCAAGATTTTACATCAGTTAAATTAAATCTCAGGAATAACTCTGTTGTTAGACTTAGAAATTAAACAGTTCAATTTTCATTGTTTTCAAATGTTTTGACAGATTAAAAAAAGGTGAAAGGTAAACGGAATAAAAACAATGAAGCTAAAAGGTTTCAAGAACTCATTGTGGTATTTATAATAAATTTAGTTTTATGTTTATATCTGGTCAATGAAACCACAAAACACTTGTATTTTCTCTTCAATTTAAATTGAAAAAGTTCCAAATATTAAACCAACATTTTATGACCAGTATTTCATTTTGTGTGCTTATTTTCATAATCACTGCTTTACTTATTTTAAAATTAATATTATGTTATGACCAAAATTAGTTCAGAGGTGCTGCCTTGTTATTAATGCCACTAATGAGTGATAATCAGTTAAAGCACTGACCCTGTAGAGGAGAGCTGTTCTCATCAGGTTCAGTCTGCTTGACTCTTTGATGAGCAGTTCTCTCTGACCGACTCAGCCTAAAACAAATAAAATATATTTATGACAGAAATTTTAAGTTGCAAAAATTAAAATCAAGTTTACAATGAGTTTAAAAAAGTTGCACCAACCTGAGGCAGCAGGAACCTGAGGAAAAAAGAACTTTGCTGTTAAATGGTGACGTTAGAAAGATATTTTACTGTTGCTTTAAGAATTTAGAATTATATTCTATAAGAATGAGCATTTAAAAATTTTGAATTAAATTGGGAAGAAGAAGTTCTGACCTTTGGACTGTTTGTAACGACACAACAAGATCAGGAGAATAATAAGAATGGTTCCACCAACAGCTCCAATTGCCAACAGCACGATAAATAAAGAGCTTTTAGGTCCAGATTCAGCTGCTTTAAATCCTGAATAAAAAAAACGTTAATTTCAATAAAAGATGAGACTTACAGTAAACCAATGTATTAAACAAATACAACAAAAAATTGAATCCTTCTCACCTTTAACTGACATCCAGCTCTGCTCTGAAACTTGTCCTGAATGTTGACACTTGTAGAAGCCTTCATCTGACAGAGACACTGCAGAGATGTTCAGCTCAGCTCTGCTGTCATTTTGTACAAGTTTATCATTATGATAGAAAADCACATTGGAAAGTGTGTTTTGTCCTCTCTGTCTGCAGCTCAGACTAACAGAAGCTCCAACAGTAACAGGATGGACGGGGCTCACCAGGAGAACATCTTTATCTGGAAAACAGAACAAACTGAATTCCACTCAGCGATCAGCTGGTTTAGATAAAGTGTGTGTGCAATGAGAAGAAAGTGAACACATGATATTATATATAAATATTAAGCAGTTTATATTGTGTTACAACAAGATGTTTCACAAATATCATGTGAGAAAATAAACCTCAGTGTGTAATTATATTCTAAAATGCATGGTAATTACCATGTAATTACATGGTAATGCCGTATACATACATGTTATTACCATCTTATTACCATGTAAATACCATGTAAATACATGCTAAAAAGAGTACTGTAAAAGAAAGCACTACCAAATTGGACAGAAGACAAAGTAAAAAAAAAACTTGTATAAAAACTTACCATGTACAGTGAGGTTGACTGCATTGCTGAACTCTCCTGATCCAGACTCACACCAGAACACAGTTTTATGAGGCCACTGACTGATAAAGGTACATGATGATCCGGTCATTGTTCTCCAGTCAGAGCAGTTTTTAATTTCTGACAGATAACCTGTTTCTGTAAACCTCCTCACTCTCCACTCAGTCGATTTTCCCTCACAGTTCAGTGAGACAGACTCAGAGGTGAAGTGTTGATCTCTGTCAGAACTCACTGTGAGAGATGCTGCTGGATGAGAATCTGAAAAACAAAAACAGATCAAATGTAACTTCAGGGGAGGAGTTTTAGTCTAATAAAGTTACCAGCAACACATGTGACTATAGTCCCCGCCCACCCCCACCC